GGGAGAGCCCGAGCGCACACTCAAATGGGGAGCCATGAAAGCATCCGGTTTTTTTCCGTTGCTCTGCCAACTGGTTTCGGGTTTCCAGCTCGGCAGACGGAATCTGCAAGGCTCCGCCAAGGGCAGTGGCAAAGCACTAGAACTTAACACTGATGGACGAAATCCTGCACCGCTTTGAAACCATGGGAAACCATTGTTTGTTGGTATTTACAGAGGAACTGTCATTCCAGGAATTCTTAAGTGGTGCAGGATTTCGTCCATCCACAGTAGGGGACTTTGTGGTGGACAGCAGTTAATTAGGTGGGGATTCATGTCCACCAACCGCTTTTGAATCTGCGTACTCCAAATGGAGTCAAAGTTTTTGCCCTTGTACCAGATCGTAATGCTTTTCTCGTGCTTCTGCCCGAAGGCCGGAAAATAAGATCCAGCCACGCCAAATGGAAAAGCAACACAAGAACCCAGAAAAAGGACCGCCAGCAATCCACGCCTCGTGAAGTTGCCCGAAGACGTAGCCTGCAGGTGAGAGAAATTCATCTGAAGGAAGTGGATGTGTGATGTGATCTTTCGCGCGTGACACGGAAATATCTCAAGTCCGACAAATGAGAGTTGAACAATACACACTTCCACAAGAAAACATGTGAATCTCAATCCTAAGTCAAGTGCTTCGTGCCTGGCATCAACAAGCTTGGGTGCCCAGGGCCGCACATTTCTGCTTACATGCACGTGTCAAGCCGCAAGCCGGAAGCCAAGCCGGAAGCCAAGCCGGAATTTGGGAGCGAGCCGTGCGGTGGGGGCGAGTGCCTAGCTGCTTCTTGTTCTCCTTCTTTCTGAAGGCGCAGCCCCAGTTGAAGTGGAGCCCGTCCTCGGTGGTCTGCGGGCTCATGGGTACCTCAGCTCCAGACTCCAGATAACGGATTTGGACGAATTTCCGTGACGGCTCTGCTTGAGTCGATGCCTTGCCGGCTTCAACAGACATAGGGGTGCTGGGACTGCCAGTGTGCCCGGCTGAAAAATCTGCACTGATCTGGAAAGCCGTCAAGTCAAATGCCAGGAACAGTTTGATGCTGACTGCGAATGGCAAAGGAAAGAAACATGCCTGTGCCAAACGCTGGTGCCATAATCTTGCTAGGGGTATCCACTGGTATCGCATCATTTGTGACTCAATATACAGCATGCAAAGTGCAGACCCGCAAGTCACTTGGAGGCTTGGGGAAGTTGCTGACATCGGAAGAGCTTTATAAAGATCGGGGCAACCAAAGGCGTCACAGAACCAAAGGCAGCCACGAAGGTGGGCAAAAGGCATCTGGTGCTCCCATACCAAGGGCTTCCAAAACTCTTAACCAAATTGGTTGGTGAGGGCCGGCTTCTTCACAAGGGCACAAGGCAAAGGATGTATCCTTCGAGTTCCTGCATCTCCATTGAAACCGCACCCCCTCAGCTCTGGGTTTCTCTTCCGCGGGGCCATAAAGATCACCCGATGCTGGAGCCGACTTTGGATCTTCGCCAGGTAGCCCGGCTCGATGCTGCCATTGTCCTCTCGAATAGGTCGGAAACGTGCCGACCCGTGCCAAAGGGGGCCTTCCGCTCAGAAACCCAGCGAAGCACAAAAAAAAACTGCCAAGCTGTGCCAAAGAAGGCCTTCTCCCTGTCCGAAACATTTTGAGATGGGCGGAATCTGCCAACCACCTGGGTGACAAAAATCGAGGGAAGCTCTGTGAGATCTGCTCACTGGTCCCCCATACCCGTCCATGCCATGGAGCCAAACCAGCAGGTAGGGCGGCACCTGCTGAAACCCGGCGGCCTCGTAGACCTCTCTCGAGCGACTCGGGGCTCGTCTCTGCCCGAAGCGACCAAGAAATTGGGCGCTGGGCAATCCATTCCGGTCGAAGGGAAGATCTCAACTTCCTGGTAAATGAGGGGAATGAAAAAAGACTTCGGACTGAAGCCTGCTGTCCCTAGCATGAGAAAGACCTTCGAAACTTTGCATATGTCATGCTGGCTGTGCCCAACCATCCGACCCAATACTTGTTCTGGACTTCACGCGTTTAATCAAGGCATCAAGATGACGTCGAAAGCATGCGCCCACTCCGCCCCGAAACCTTGACCCCATCAAAGCCAACCCGCCGAAGTGGGGCAATGGTCAAGCTGGTCGAACTTCCCCAAGGCGTCCATGAGCATCCAAACATCCAAACCCCAAGGCTCTACTTAGGGGCTGCTTTGGACTTCACTTCTGGTTCTACCCAAGTTGGTTGAGGTTTTGAGGTTTTTTTGCAGGCTTTCCAAGCTCCAATCAAATACCCGCCAACCTGCAAAACCGAGAGGGGCCTACCCAAAGTACGACCACGTCCCCTTCAATTTGGTCCGTTGCTCAGCATGTCATGACGAAAACCGGGAAGGCACCGAGCCACGTCCCCAAAACGGCCTAGTGGTTTTTGGGGACATCGGGCCCCCGCCTTGAAGCTGCTCTTGCCGAAGCGGTCGCCTCAATTTGAGCCGATGGTCTATGGGCTTACGCTTTCAGCAGCTTTATCCGTCCAAAAGGCATAGGATTCATCCCCCAAAGAAAGAAGAAAAAAACAGGCCCATCCTCCTCAAATTCCACAAAATCGCTTTTTTCCGGCCTTGTGTTGAAACAGGGAGAGATGGGGTTGGGTCCTATGACACTGGCCTCGGCGAAGACTCCGACGCGCCCGGCCTGGCGTTGCGCGCCAAGGGCCATCGTCAGGGGCGATCTCCCCTTGCAACAGCAGCTTCACCGATTCGCCGCTGAGGGGCTTCGCTCGGCCCATAGCGAACACGGGTTCCACGCGTCAAATGGAGGGCAAGGAGATGAGAGTTTGCCTTCAATCTGGCGGCATTTTTGCACTCTCCCTTCCACGGGGACTGGGATCTGTCGGCTGGCAGGTGTGCCCTACGCTTTGTCCTGATCAGAGGTCGAAAAAGTGCAGACTCTTCCGCTACGCTGCACAGAGTAGCTTGTGGTCCGAGGCAATTCTGCAAGCAATCAATCGGTCAGTTGTCAATCTGTATTCGGTTCATCAGTCAACTGGACACAAACCCTCAGTCTAGAGAGCTCGCATTCGCCCCTCGCAGGCCCTGCACGGCCCGCGCGAGCCAAAAAGTTCTCAGTCAGACCAGCCACTTTGGGTCAAGGCAAGCTGGCAATGGCTAAGTTGGGTCGGAGCTTCAACCTGGCACCGGCTCGCCTGTTGGTCTTCCTTTGAAACCAACGAAAAAACCAAATGGGCACCGAGCCTCAAAAACAGACCTTCCCCCACATCAGATCCCAGGCGGCCTGTTTCAACCACCTGAACAAACCTCTGACCAAAGGCAAGCTGAAGCTGTCCTGAGCGCCGGTTTGGCATGCTCTGTTAACCCCAAGTCGGACCCATGGAAAGGGGACTTATGGCGACATAGTTTAGGTCCCAGCTTCCCTCCCAAAGGACAATAAACAGATCTACAGTGGGTAAGTTGTAGCTAAGGATGCCAGTCACTTCCCTGCATCGCGCCGAGCTCGTTTTCAGCGCTGCATCAGCCGAGCTTAGACGCGCACCACCGGTAGCCCTCCGCCTCCGGGCCAATCTGTTCCAGCGCTGCTCTGATCCAGTGACAGATTATTGTATCGGGCCAAAGGATTGGAATTGGAGCAGGGGTGTGTGGTAGCATAAAACTTTTTAAAGACATGTGGGAAAGTTCAGCTAATTATTCAGCCTTATATTGTGTGTCTGTTGAGAGGTCCAAAAAGGCAGGGCAAACTCAATCAGCCCACCCCATGCCGCGAAACAAGTTGACTTGCAGTTCCGTCGTCAAGTACGAGAAAGGGTAGCAAGCCTATGTTCGCATGATTGCATGGAAGTTCTGGCATGGGATTGTGAACTACAATATACGGCCAACAGAATATGTCGACCTCCAGAATGTGTTTGCAGCTCAGCTATGGCAAAAGATTCCAGAATCCACAATCCAGTGGTCGCATCTGCTAAATTCGACAATGTGCCCTTCACGCTTCTTCCAAATGCGTGCATTTTCAACCTCGACCCCTCAAAGGTCCCAAAATGGTGAAACGGTTTCCATTGGAAACGGGCGTGGCATGCCGACGCCTGGACTCCACTGAACGCGCAAAAGGGCCGCAAAGCGCATTTTGAGGGGCGCGCCCCTTCGAGATGCCAAAATGGAGGCGCCCACCCCCCCCCCCTCACAACCCAACGGCCTGCCCCTTTTTCCCGCGCCTTGATGAGCTGGAATTTGAAGTGCACCGTGCTGGCCCTTGGTCACTCAGTCTCCGATCTTGGTTCTGATTCGGGGATCGTCGAAAAGTGGAGGCTGAATTTTCGGCACCAAATGGGTATAGAATTGGCTCATGACTTCGACAAGCCCTCTGATGCACCTTGAGCTCGTGGTCGCGCTCTCTCCCTCTCTCTCTCTCACTCTCTCTTTCTCTCTCTCTCACTTTCTGCTTGACTGTGATTCATTGTATGCTCCTGTGGCGGAATCAGGCTGCCAGCACAGGGATTTGAAGGAACTCCATCACACAACTGCTATGGATCTCCAGGAAGGAGATGGCACGGGAGCAAAAAGCAAGTGCAAAGCCTAAGCACCCTGCAAAGAAGTCGAGAAGCAAGACAAAGGGCAAATACAGTTCGAAAGCACCAACAAACTGCCAAGTAAGTGCTTTCGAGTCTGACGGAACCAAAAACAACAATGGTTCTGAGCAGCCAAAGTAGTTGAAGAGATGTGGACTTCGAAACCAACAAAGTTGAACATAGACCCGAATGGCAAGAGTTGCACGATGCCGGGGTTTCTGTTCAATCTGGGCCCCGTGTTTTGAACGCACCCCTGGCCCAAACAACGAACAAACTACCCCTCCCCAACGCCAAATACACCTCCAGCTTTGGGCTTGGGATGTGCCCCAAAGGAGGTGCGAGAAAAAAGTTGCGAAGGCTGAAACATGTCGCTAAGCCTACGCCAAGCCTCGTGCACAGAAAACGTGTCCTTGAAAAACCCACGCTAAAGCTGTGAAAGGTTTGATCAAACACAAAGGAATTGCGTTTTGCACATACGTGGCAGCTTAAAGCGGAGCAGAACAATGGAAAAACCGAGGTTTTGTCGCGCGACATACATACATACACACTAGTGTTATCTGGCGCCAAAACACCAAAACGCGGTTCCGCACAAAACAAATGACCAAGCTTTCCAGTACCGCCAAAAGATATAACACTGTTTGTTTAGTTAGTCGCCACATGGCATGCACAAAATTACACCACCGAAGACCCCGAGCAATTTGAACCAAGCCTCGTGAAACAAAGCCCGTGGCCTTGCAGCAGGGCGCTGCCTGCAAAAGGCCCAGTTGAACGTGGTCAACCAGCACCACAAGCGCGGCCCCAAGGTCGTTACGGTCGACCACAAACTCCGGTGGCTGGCCGCAACTTTGGCCAGTTGCGGCCTCGAACCGAAATGGTTGACCGAGGATGGGCCACCAAGGTGGTCGCCCGCAGCCCCGGGCCCGGAAGTCAACCGCCAACCTTGCCCCGAGGCACCAACCGCAACCGACCACCTTCCGGTGCTGAGTTTCATCGACTAAGCTCTTGCCCCCAAGGCGACCTCGGGCGACTGGACTTGAGCAGTCGGTCAACCACCGAACACGATCTAAGATTGGGCTGTGAGTGGGCCACCTCTCCACATCGCCATCCACCTCTCCACATCCTGTTCAGTTGAGAAGCACCTGCCCTTTTGCTTTCAAAGGGGCAGATGCTCAAAGTCCTTGCACAGCTGCCAAGTTGACTCACTTCCTGCGTCTAACGCTGCAAAGAACACGCCCTCCGCGCCACCTCCCCATTGCCAGTGTCGCCGCCTGCGACATCCTGAGCATCACCTGTTCTTTGCCGTGTTCTCAGCTGAACAAAACACTGCAGAAGGGCAGTTGCTCGAAGTCCTTACATAGCCGCCGTCACCTTCCACGCCGTTGGCGTCAGCTGTTGTTCGCCCTTTTCTCAGCTGAGAAACATCTGCCTTGTTGTCTTCTTTGTTGAAAGTCAAAGGGCAGATGTTCGAAGCTTTCACCTAACTGCCGCAATCGTTCTCTCTACGCCTCGCGGGTAAGAGAACACGCCTGCACCCGCGGTGTCACCCCTCCACATTGCCAGCGTCACCTGCCACACCCTGAGCATCACCTGTTCTTTGCCGTGTTCCGCTGAAAAAAACATCGCCCCTTTTTGCCATTTCCGTTCAATGCAAAAGCGCAGATACTCGAAGCCCTTACGTAGTCCTCTATTTCTGCCTCTGACTTCTTGCAGAGTGTTCGACGATGAACTCCAAGCCAACCTTGAACACGGCCACAAAGCACCACTCAGACGCCAGCAGCCAATATAATATCGTCAACGTGCCACACTGGGAAAACTCACTGTTTTCTCCTCCACCCGGCATGCTTCAAATTAGCGTTACATTCACACTAGCGTTTCTTCCAATAACAGAAGCATGGTTTTTGTTTGGGCAAAATGCGCGTTAATGTGTCTGGCGCCAAGCGATGAGGGAGGCAAAATGCATTAAAACCAACATGGGGCAACACAAGCATCTTGGTGGCAAGTGATAAATGCAAAGGAACATGTCAAGGAAATGTAGTTTCTGGCGCCATACGTAAGAGATGACAACATATCTTTCAACACACGCGTTTGTATGTTCCAGCCGTGCGACAGCAGCAGCTAACAGGGCCATGCAGCACCCTGCAACACCTTTTCCTTCACGCTGGCCAGCAGCACCCTTCAGCAAACCAACACAACAGTGGACGCGAGATTGCCTCACCTGCGCAACAGCCCACCGTCCCCTTCTCTACTGTACTTGAAGTTAGAACCCCTATAGCTTTCAGTAGGCACAAGCCTCCCATGGTCGAGTGGCTGGCTATTCTTGGAAATCTGGGCGCCGTTCTTGAAGAGGTTCACCACAAGCTCAAAGACTCCGTCGCCATTTCTGTCGTGCTCGGAACTGGGCAACGCTGGCCGCTTGCGAAAGCTCCGAACTTTCCGAACCCGGTTTTCGCCGACAGCCCAAGATTTGGGACGCACTCCCGGCTGGCGTCCTGGCCCAAACGTCCTGAGGAACCCATGTCCCGTGACCCGCTTGTCTAGGACCGTGAGTTGGTTTTGACCAGAGTTGCGCACTCAATCCCAAGGCAAAGAAGAAGAAAAACAGAGACCCCGTTGGGAAAAACGGTAGACAGGAAGCCAACTGGCAAAATGAATGGCGCCGGACAACATTCGAACCAGTTGGTGAAAACCAGAGGGAACCTAACTTTGTGTTCCCCATCCTTCCTTTGGCCCATGCATACATTGGAATGGACGAGTAACTCCCCTCTGTTCGCCGAGAGTGCCTGTCGTTCCCTGTACCGCCCTATAGTGGACAATAAAGAAAAATTCGCGACTCCCCAGGTCCCTTCCAAATGGACTATAGAATGGTGATGGTCTGACCCTATGCCCCCCTAGGACAAGCCAAGCAGCAGGAATGCGGTGTCTATGTTGATGGACCCACCAGCAGCAAATTCACCAATCTAAGTCCAAGCGTCTCACTCGAACGGAGCTGACGCATACACCGGCATAGACCCCGGATTGCAAGACATGTAGAGGGGTGTGACAACCATGATTGGCAACTGCGAATCCTCCAAGTACAAGACCCGCTTGTACAACAATGACGGCAAATCTGGTTTGCTGCCCTCAAAGCAGCCAACAGCACCCTGCACAACTCCAACTCCAACGCCCTCCGCCTCGAGAAAACTCGAGAAACGAGAAGCAACTACCCTCCAGCAGCTCAGGGCAAGTGCCACGAGGATTGACAACTGGCTGTGGCTGTCAAAAATAGGGTAACCCCAAAATGGGTTGTCCTGGATGGAAACTTGGACTGCAACCTGCGGTCCATTTCCTGGCGATTTTAATTTTGACACCCAACTAGCCCCCACCTCTGCTAGGGAACTGGGAAAATGGCGTACAAAAACCACCGGGCGGTTTTGGCACGGGTGCCGGAACACAAAAACACGCTTCTTCTTTGGGCCACGCTCAGCGCCCTTCTTTGGGTACGGCACTGCCCTCAATAATTAAGCAAGACCGGCGCAAAACCAGAATCCACCACAAGATGACCCTTCCGAATTTCTCAGTTGATGATCTGCCCTTTAAAAAAGCAAAACGAACCCAACACAACAAAATGGGCGCGTTCAAATGTCTTGGTTGATGCAGGTTCTGCTCTCAAAAAACGAACTAGCGCAAAACAAAACGACCACAAAAGGACCCGTCCAATTTTCTCAGTTGATGCGGGATCTGCCCTCCGAAAGAATAACACCATCGCAAAACAAATCCGCAAAAGTCGACCGTTCCGAATTTCTCAGTTGACGTTGGCGGTGGCCTCAATTGATGCAGTTGGATTTTCTGGAAGGCAAAGCCCACATCAACCGAGGCTCCTGGGGAAAAACGCCAGCGCAAAACAAATCCACCACAGAACGACCCGTCCGAATTTCTCAGTTGATAGAGTAGAACAACACCGGCGCACGTCGGCCATCGAAGCAGAACACCAGTGCAAAACGAAAATGCCTTTCCGTATTTCTCTGTTGATGTGCGCTCTGCCTTCCAAAACAAGGATATCCCACCCTTGCAGAACCCTCCCTAAAAGCTGCTCCGAAGCCCCGAGCTTGCGACCCGAAGCTTTCAGCTGTGGAAAAGGCCATTTGGGCGCCGGCTCAGGGCCGAAGGCTTGAATCTGCCATCGTTTCTCAAACCCTACAGCACCCTTCAAGGGCGCAACAGCAAAGTCATGCCAGAAGAAACCTGTGCAGTGAGCCACATGATTTGTGCCAGGAGACTGTGAGTTCGATCAAAGCGTCAACCTGCATGACTTTCCCATCGAAATTCAGCGCACCTTCATAGATGAAGGGGCAACCAAAGTGATAATTGGGGTTCTCGTTGTTGTGGTAGCCCACGGTGTTGGCCTCACGTCCCAAAGTGGACCACCCATTGTAGGCGTCCCTCTTTATGAGACGAAACCCACATTCACTTCGATCAGATCCTGAAGAGCAGGCAAAAAGCTGAAGGATCCTTTCCTCCACCATCGCCAATATTGAAATGCAATTCGGAGCGAGGCCGGTGAGTCGTTTGATGAGCTTCAATCAAATAGTTGCCCGACATTGACATGCAGTTCCCACGCCCTGCCTTGTTGTCCTCGCTGTTCACCCAGAACTTGACTAAGGGATTCACCTCAAAGCGTGCCCGAGTCCCCTTTTGCCTCTCCAGCTGAGCGTCGTCAGCTCGAAAAGCTCCATTTTGCCGAGCCGCTGTATCACTCCAAGCCCAATAGCTGGGAATATTGTTGGCACTGATGCAAGTGATCACTACCAGGTTCTTGGGGTCGCAGGCACCGTCCTTGGCAAATGGCAACCTCCCACCGTGAACAGAAATCCAGCAACATGCGCGAAGGCTCGAGAGACCACGTGTTCCAGATCTTCGGGGTGAGCTTTGTACCCGAAAGGAGGGATTTGCTTGGCATAGCAACTGTTTTGGGGGTCCTCTACTGTGGCAAGTTTGTTCGGTTGCCGGGAACAAATGACCAAAAACAAATAACAGGCAAACACAATGGGCAAACACATCCAGGCAAACATTATTGTTTTGAAGTGGCCCCCAAACCATCAAGCTTCAGATAACTTCTTTACAAGAAAGGATACGGCACATCGCCTCAACCAGGCTTTCGGGAGCACAAGAGCCTTGATAATTTTGGGGATTGCACAAGTCAAATTCCCTTTGGCAACACTGGCAACCGCTGGCAACCGCTGGCTGGACCCTCCCGACTTTGCAGATTTCGGTAAGCAGGCTATCCCATGACCCGCTTGCCAAGCAGCCGTGGTCGCGTAAATCTGCACCTCTGGGCATTTCGCATGCCTCCCCCTCGTCAGCTCTTCAGGCCGATTGCCCGGCAATCGAAGGAGTCGACCCAAAAACCATGAGGATGCAAAGGGCGGAGTTCTGGTGGGTCAAAAGCAATGGTACCGTTTTTTGGGGTAGGTGAATTCACCACCCATTTTAGAACCTATTTTAGTGGGGCATTGAATCGGCTGTTCACGAAATTGTGACCCATGGCCATCTGAAGCTATGGTTGGGACCGTCTGCCCGTCAGCCTAGCCGCTGGACCAACTCCGGCATGTGCTGCCGAACTTCCGCAAAGGAATCCTGAGCGATGCTAAAGATTGAATGCTAGAGTTCAACACAGAGTCCTTTCTGTAGGTCCCACTGTTGTAAGATGTGAAGCTTCTGGCCACGCGGTTTCCTGCTACAGATGTGTTTAGATCGGACATGACCTTGGAAAACTGGGGCCGTCTTAAGCCCTGATTCTTCTACAGTCAACCAAGAACATCGCCCGCGGCCCGAGTACATTGTACGCGGAAAACCTCAGTGAAGATTCCAGAAAAAAATCGCCTGCGACAAAGTTCGATGGCAAATCTTAGTTCCTCAGCGCCATTGGCACTTGCGACCGCACAAAGAAGGCACCCAGATCTGAAAACATGGTGGAGACGTTCAGCACAGATGGCTGTGGGTCAAAAAACCGGTAGAATGGAACCCTGGTAAGTGGAAACATGGACCAAAATCTGCGGTCCCCTGTTTAATTCAATTTTGACCCACACCCAGATCCGCGGGGCCGGGAAATCAATTCGAAACGGAAGGCAGGCCCGGAGACGAGTCAGCTCAGCCAAGAGCCTTGAATCGGAACCGCTGTGGTTGTCAAAAATGGTTGGTAACCCCAAAATGGGTCGCTCTGGTAAATGGAACCAAGGACCAAAAACCTGCGGCTTTCTGGTGGTTAATTTTTTACCCATACCCTGCTGACTGCAAATAGCACAGGTGGATTCAAAGCACGACATGAATAGAATGGATTCGAATGAGCGAAGAGAAAAGTACAAAAGGAACCGAACGGAACAGAACGGAACGAAACAAAGATCTGGAAGGGCAAGCCAAAAAAAAAAAAACTTTTTGGGGCCACCTACTTTGACACATACCCATGCATATGTTCTATCACTAGAAACTCATGGGCCAAAGCTGACAGGGCCGATAGATCTGCTGTAAAACTTGCAGAACGATTCGCCACGTCCAGGTCACTTGAGTCACTTGCTCAAAACCCGGTATTAAAATGGTCGTAATCCCAGAACCATGTAAAGAATTAAGAAGCCGGCCACAGCCAGAAATATGCGACTGCCCCTTACTAACCTTCATCTAGCCTGGTTTTGATTGTGGCTCACTTGTCGATTGCACCAGCGCAGAACAAAACTTGGCAGCGGCATCCGAACAGTCCTACGAGCTGGGTCTTTGCTCCAGTTTGAGCTTCTCCACTTTGGCGCCATGAACACAAACACACTTGTACACACATCCTCTCCAATGTTCCCCATCCGAACAAGTTCTGCCCCCACGAAGCGAACGCGTTCACCAATGTTCTACCCAAACCTGCTTTGCTGTTTGATTTTTAGAGGGAGGCTCAGCTTTCCTTGGAGTCCCATCACCTTTCTGAGATCCATACCTTCGAGCCCCCCCACCCCCTGCGCGGCAAGAGCAAGCGCAACCCAGCGGCCATGCGGGGGTGAGTTGGCGCAGGACCCATAGGACCAAAAGGATGGGCAGGTCCGCGGAATCCAAGGGTCTCTGGTGGTTTCTCTTGCTTCGATAGATGAGAAATGGAATGAACCCCACAAACCATCCAGCCTGTTTCCTTTGATTCCGGTTCATTCCCAATTTTCGGGGAATTCCCTACGCACCAGCGATAGGAGTTTTCTGGCTGCGATAGGTGGGCGTGTCTTCTTTTAGCACCCCCAGAAATGGATCTGAAACAGACACGGGAATGACCCTCAATGTGTCTTGTAAATGACCCTCAAAGGGGAATCCCGAATGAAGGAAGCCATAGGGTGTGTCTTGTTCCTTTTCTTTCGGGGTCATTCCAATTCCCATTCATGAGTTAAAGCAAGTCAACGGCTGTCCGCTTAGCCATTGGAAAGCATAAGCCCACAGGTGGCACACACGCCAAAGCTTCGCCGGGTGGATTTTCTCCGAGCTTTGAGGCAAAGGAGTCATCTCCAGGCGCAAAAAAAATGCGAGTCCAAGCAGCAGTCGCATTGTCATTGTCGAACACAGAGATGAAGCCAAGCTCCAAAGCTTCTGAAGCTGTCATTGTCTTTGCCTGACCAATCAAGCCCCTGCAAAAAATGGAGCTGCCTTTGATTTCCCCAGATCCCATGCGAAAAAACAAAAACACGACCCCCCCAACAAAAAAAAAACGGAACCCCCTCCAGAAACGTCAACAAAACCACGGGGGCGGCGGCTCGCTTCTCCTTCTTTTCGTAGGGCCCGGGGCCCGCCTGGCCTGCAGCTTCACGCCTTGGCGGCTGGCGGCTGCCAAGCTCGCGCCGAGGAACAGGGAGAACATCATGTCCTAAGAAAAGGGCAAAGACGGGTGGTCCCTTAAAAAACAAAAAAATGCCAAAACGGGTGGCCCTTGCAAAAAACGGCCAAAATTGGTGGTCCCTTAAAAAAAACGGCCAAAATGGGTGGTCCCTGGTGGCTCCTTAAATAAAAAGTGCCAAAATGGGGGCCCTTAAAAAAACGGCCAAAATGGGTGTTCCCTTAAAAAACGGCCAAGATGGGCCAAAATGGGTGGCTTCTTAAAAAAACAAGCGGCCAAATGGGTGGTCCCTAAAAAAACAACGGCCAAAATGGGTGGTCCCTAAAAATACAATTGCCAAAACGGGTGGTCCCTTTAAAAAAGGTGCCAAAGTGGGTGGCCCCTTAAATAGAAGCGGCCAAAATGGGTGGCCCTAACAAAAAAAAAACATCGGCCAAAATGGGTGGTCCCCCAAAAAAAAGGCCTTAAACAAAAAGAAGACGGATGTCCATTTGTTGCTCATTTGCAGGAAGAGCTTTATAGGGCTCTGCCTGGGCCCTTTAAAAAAAAATGGGTGGTAGAATCAAAGGTGTTGTTGTTTGTCCTTGTTTAAGGCTGAAATGGGTGATAGAAACAACGGTGTTTAATTGGTTTTTGTTTGGAGGGGACCCTCAAAATGGGCTTCAATCACTTCGGCTTCCCTGAAAAAAAAGGGGGGGTACTAGTACCCTCAAGAAAGACACCCCCCAAGCAGCAGAGTATTCTTGCAAAAGCAACATGCTGCCAAGCCGCTTTGAAGACACAAGATTTTGCAAACAACTGGAGATGCTTGATGTGCTGCGGAGAATTCGATGTAGCTGACAGGCTGCAGAGTCACCTTTCAAACATCTTGGAGCCTTTCCGCTCAAAACACGGCGCTTCAACACAGCACTTTGTCCTTAACCCCCAAGCTACGGATCCCAGAAGCGCTCAACATGCCAACCTCAGAATCCCGGCGGCAAAGTGCAAAGCACGCTTTGGTGGCGCAAAGTTCCGAGCGGAATCTCTGACCATATCGTTCGCATCACAGTGATTCCCTCTGCGATTGAAACATTGCTCGCTTTCATAGAGTAAGGCCACCCCTCGTCAACTCAGAATGCTCACCATGACATGCCCACAGCCAGTAATGGCCTGCAACAGGACTTGCGCAAGAGGGCAAAAAGCGAATTCGGCTTCTCAAACTGAGAAGCAAAAAGTCGCGTAGGCGCATGCTTGATCAGATACCATTTCATGGCACACTGGATCAAGCAGCCCTAGAGTTTTTCAAAGGCTAATCCTCAGGAAGAAAGCCAGGCACAGCAGGCGAGCAGCGCCCAAAACCCATTGAATTTTGAGGTTCTACCAACATGCTAACAAAGGTTCATATGGGTGTGGCTCAAAATTAAACAGGAGGGGTTACGCAGGTTTTGGTCCATGTTTCCACTTACCAGGGTTCCATTTTGGTACCGGATGCTTGCGAAAAGGTCCAGTGTCTGATGCTCACCGGCTTGGGCCAAGCCACCCTCACTGGCCGTCCCTTGCTTCCTTCGCGTCACGACCGTCGCCCACGTGGCAGGCGTGGATCTTGGTGAAGTTGGCAAGGAAGTCTCGCCAGAGCATGCAAAAGACCCCCTGGTCCTCGTGGATCCTCTCGAACAACTCCGTCGCCCACCGCGCGTCCAAGGGGCCGAAGTCCCCCCTCCAGCACTTCTGCCTCAGACTGGCCAAAAAGTCCAGAATGGCTATGGGTCAAATATGCGTACCCAAAATGGAACCCTGGCAAATGGAGCCAAAGACTAAAACCTGCGGACCCCTGGTGGTCTTATTTTGACCCATACCAAAGCGGCCTCGGCAACCCCACCAAAACCAGGACAGCCCGTAACGCCATAGATCCATCGCCAAGCGTCCCCCAGGGATTCCGCAGCTTCACAAGCTGTTCCCGCCGCCCCGTGCTCACGTCCAGAAAGCAAAAGAGGTCCAAAAAGCTGTAGGCGTGCAGGGTCACCAGGCCGTTGGGCAGCACGCGCTGGCCCTAGCAACTTGCTGGCTCAAACGTGAGTGGATCCCTGTATTTGTCGGTGTATGGATGCATTTACATATGTATACACATATGTACATATATATATATACATAGTATGGTATGCATACATGGGTATAGATATATATATATATATATGTGAGTGTGTCCACCAGCTGCGCTGGCCGGTCGCAGGTGAGATGGGGAGCACTGGGACCTTGTTTCAGAGCCTAATCCGGACCACCCAAGCACGCGCGCGAGAGGCTGCAAGGTTGCATGCCCACCCTAGCTTGAGCGCATGTGTGCCTGCTTGCGTCCGGCGCTTGCGTTCAGGGCGCGTGAGACATGCGCGGCGCGCGCGCTGCACGTGTCTCACACCGAAAGCCAATGAGACCAAAGATGCATCCCCGGCAGCCAGTCCCAGCCCCAGAGAAACCGGTGGAAAAATGAAGAAAAAACGGTATGCGCGATGTTTTCCGCACAGCGGCGGCGGCCGCGCTCGCGCAAGAAAAACCGCTCACTCGATCGCAGACTTGCCCGCCATGTCCGCCTACCGCCAAAACCTCTCTCAGGGGACCATTTTTGAAGGGTTTGAGCGATGCAGGGGATGCAGGGGATGTAAGGGATGCTGGAACGCCCAGATGCTGGTGATGCAGGGAATGCCGGGGATGCTGGCGAAGTTTGCGAGGATGCAGAGGATGTTGGCGGGGACGCTGGCGACTGTCCGGGGCGATTTGCACGGTATTTACAGTGTTTTGTGAAGGTCGGGCAACATGGCATCAGAAGCCCGTCGCAAGGCCAGGGAGGCCAAGGATGTTTTGGGGTCCAAGTGTTTGGGCCGGCCTGCGTGCAGGTGATGCAGGCAATGCTGAGGAGGAGCTTGGGGTGCAACAAAACACGTCAGCGGTATACCCTACGTGTCAAGAGACGGCAAGGTGACGTCCCGTGGGACGCTGTGCACCGAACCCTCAAGCTTTAATACCAACCACGTAGAAAGGTGTATACGGACGATGCCGTTATAGCCGAACCCGCGTAAACGTTGTAAGGAAGAAGGATTGATAATTACACCAGTGGTCCTGACAAAGCGGCGCAAGCAGTTGTTTTGCTCTTAATGCCGATCACGTAGGTCTGCAGTCACACATCAGATCTTGAACCTCAATTGTGTCTTGAGCCAAATGGCGATCAATGGAACTTGGGAAGCAACACCAACAAGGACCTCAGAACAGCTACCCAATTTCGGCACGGGGCCTAGAGGGTTTTAACATCCCCCATTTGGGTCGCATTGTTCATCATGCGGTCCAAACACCACAAAACGTTCCACTGGCCACGGCTTCAACTACGAAATCGTGTCGTGCATTCTTTTACTTGCTATCACTACACCGTTCATTCGCTGTGAAACATGCCGGGTTCGATTGTACGAAAAGTGAAACATTCATCCTCCAATCGAAGCACACATCCATATGCAGGTGTATATAATACACTGTGGCCACTTCACTTGACCGCCAGTGAACATTCCAGCTGCCGCATTTGCGCATCGCGCAGCTGTCATCCATAAATGGGTTGGCCACAAAAGTCCACCAGACGCGCCCGCTTGTGATCGGTCTGCATATCTCCGGCAAAGAAACATCGGTGAGTAATCAATGCAAATCATAGCCATTCCAGATACCATGGACAATGCATAAATAATGAAAAGATATCATCTATAAGGTAATAGTTCCATCCATGAATATCCAGAGCGTCATAGTCGTCGGAATATGTAACCATGTACACATCCAATCATCTTGGACACATGAATATAAATCATGACATAAGTCGTTCCACCGAAACAGTGTCGATGTGACGCAAGTAACAGATGGGGACTGGCCCACATCGTACCGCAATCATCATCTTCACGAAGCATACCTGTCCCCAATGGACAGCCTATGGGTACGTCGGCGGAACTCCTCGTCCAAGTTCTTCTGGGCTTCTCGTGCCCGGACACACTTCTTGTTGTAGTCCTCTGGCAACCAGTGCCCTTTCCGAAGGCACCAATCCAGCAGGGGTGTGTCGCATTTGTTCGGGTCGACGGCCGAGATGATGGCGCTCACGTTGACCGTGTAACCATGTTTGCCAAGGTTCAGGCCATCCCTCACGAATGATATATACTTACAGTTGAAAGCTAGTGCAAAACATCTGAAAATAATATCACCCACCGGGTGCACTCGGTCCTTGACCAGGAGCTTCATTTCTTCCTTGGTGACATCGAGGATTCTTGCTGCAATCCACAGCTTGTAGAATGTGTATAGTCCCTCGCATTTGTTCACCATCATACGAATATATTCGTCACGCTCCTCAACCGATCGGAAGGCTCTTGTCCGAACATTCTCCGATTGAGAAATCTTCGTTATTGTTGATGGCAAAAGTATACCTTCCTGATCATGCTCAGTGATGTTGGGGTACCTCCTGAAATCATTGTGATAAGGGCAGCCCGGATTCCCTTCGAGTCCGGCATTCATCGTTCTCTCCTCACCACCTTCAAACATCCCCCACATCTTGGACAGCTGGAGTGCGATAAATCCTGCCATGTACTGAGCCTCACGCGGCTCGTCAAGGCAGATCGCCATCCGTTGGGAACTTATAATGTCCCGTGACGTCAGATCGGTGTCGCGGTAATGCCAACCGCCGTCTTCTTCTTCTGACGCATAGCCGGATGTATATCCTTGCGTGTCCATGTCGTCATCTTCTCCCGGAACTTCCTCCGCTTCGTCTTCATCCTCCTGTGCTGCCGCATCGTGGTTAGCTTCTTCCTGTGCACGCCTGGCATCTCCAGAGACGTTGGGGTTTTGGTTGTCCTCCTCGTCGTCGGAATTGATGTGAATGTAGTACCTTCCGATGGAGATCAGTTGTGCTTCGCATTCCAGGCATAAGCAGAAGCAGGTGGGGATCGCGGTCGCACATGATGGACATATCCGGCACCTCAGTCCTTCCCATGTCTCGTCATTCAGGATGACGACTTTGCTGATTTCGTCCCGGACCTCGTTGACCTGTGCATTGAACTCTTCCATCTTGTTGTTTCGATAGAGTTCGCAAGCACGATTAACCATGTCAACGATGTAGTGCAGATTATCGGCACCTGTCTCAGTCTCCGGCATCCTCTCGCTGATCTTTGCGACGTTCTGGAGGAACATCGCAGCCGACTCTTGGGAAGAGTTGACAAAGCCAGGGCAGATCTCGTTCTCCACACACTTCGAGTACGCCCTCTTGATGTCAGCGTACTCCAGGCGCTTCCCTCCGTTGCTTTTGCCAATCCAAATGGACTTGACCTCATAGAACGGGATCACGTCAAAGACCATGAAAGTCCCATTAGCCGCGACTCCAGCCCCATACCGCGCGAGGGTTGCACTGGGAATATAGATGATCGCAATCGGATCCCCTCTCCTCACGTTCCGTAGCGTTGTCTTCGTCGCCACGTTCATCTCATCCCATGGAGCAAACGCCCCGAAGTGCAGTGCTAGCCTGTTACCGCCATCGATTCCGCCGGGGACTAGCCCACAGCGTACGATGCTTGGCAGGTTTTCCACATACGTCACATGGAATGCTCCTCCGAGAGTATCACCCATTCTTGCGGAATACCTATTCGCCAGTGCGGATGAGCTCATGAATCCAAAATCACTGTGACCGGTTGTGACTCGGATGCACCAAGGTCTGTACCATCCATCGCATCTGTTGAACATCCTGTCGATGTCGTCCCGATCCACGCCAGCCTTGGTCATTTCCTCCCTGGCTGCCCTCGTGTCGTTCGGGTTCATGATGCTCGGAAACCTTGCTGCCAGAACCTGGAATCTCGATTTTCTGCTTCCGGATTCCTGCCACTTGATCACCTCCATGATGCCCATGTATCGTTTCGCTCTCGTGGTGTATGGTGGGAATATGTCGTTGTTCCGGTCGTCAATGACAGCATCAATGTCGACCCATCCACCCTCGTCGCACCTGAAAGCACTTCCTCGGCAATTGCCGATCTTGTGTCGAAGGACTCTGCATAGGTCGTGAGATAGCTGGTTTGCTTGGTCCCTTGTAGTAAATACCGAGCGATCATCACCAATCCTGCATAGTGGAGCACCGTCGAAAGGAGCAATGCAGAAGTTGACACTCTTGCCAAGTTGCATCACGTCCACTTGCTCAAGGATTGCACCTTTGGGAAAGTATTTGGGGTCAACGATGGACGCATACGCCCATGGCAAGTGCACATCACTCACATCGCCATACTTCGGGATGTAGCACGGGATGGTGTCGCATCCCATCTCAAGCGTCTTCTTGAATGTCCTGTTGTCCCCGCACGGGTTGTAGGTGAGGTCGACGCCACCACATTGTAGCTCTCCTCCCTCAGCCGTGTCAGCCATCTCCACCAAATTAATGGTGTAGCTGTACATCTCAATTGTTTCTTTCCCTGCTTGTCCTCCTTTCTTTCTTTCCTTGGACGTTGATGAGGACGGTTCCTCCGTATCCCCCATGTCTTCATCAGATGAAACAGGGTCACTGCTGAGTAGCTCACGGAGCACCTTCATCGCCTTCTCATTTCCAGCAGCCTCCTCAATGTCCTTGCAGTCGCCGTCGTGGGCCAGGTTCGCGCACTTCTTACAGATCCCCATATCTCCCATGCACTTCTCCATTGACTCCAGGAATCCTAGTGCCGCTCTCCGCCCGTCGATCACTCGCTGCTTCTTGTCTCCTTCTCAGTATTGGGCTGAGAACTTCGACTCGGGTCTGGTGCTTGACCAAGACCCTCATCTTCGCCCTCCGTGGCCTTTCTCTTGGACCCTTGTGCAGAGGGCTCGGTGATCAGGGATCGTGGATGTCTGGGCTTGACCTTGTTCATGATGTCAAGCACCTCCTTCGTGGGCACGCCGAGCTGTGCGGACGGTTTGTTCCGCTTTCTGTTCTGGCCCGTCGTGTGGGTCACGTTCCCAGCGAGGTGTCGCACTATTGACTGCTCGAACTCCCTCTTGATCTTCCATGCATCCTTCCACAGTGGCAGT